TTGGGCTGCCAGGTGGGAGCTCAGAGAGCTGCCTCTCCAAAAACACTAGTGAATAACAATATCCTTTCTGCTCCTTTCTGGAGAACTTTGACTGGACTGAAACCTGGTCCTTAGCAGTGTGCTTAGTTTACTGGTGATTCTTCATAAATTAATTTGCTTTAAAATGAGCTAACCAATCTGTAATAAATGTTTGCAGTGCTTGAATCTGGAAAGCTATCAACTGCCCAGATAAACTCAGATAAGTCACAGCAATGAAGTTAGCTTTTTGCCATATTTGTCACTCAAGGTATAATATTGTTAATGAAGATCTGTTGACTGAAACCAATCTGATAGGACATGATACTATTTTCTTAATGTTTTATTGATAGAACTGTGTATTGACCACTGTTGATTTTGTCGAGAAATACCAGGTTGGGTGTTACTGTTTATTCTAAAATTTGGCACAAAAGCCAGGAGCTTCCTCCAGAGCTCTGCTCAGGTCTTACAGAACTCGTAGGTAGGAATTAGCAGGAATGTTGATTTAAGTGTCTTAATTTTTGTAGTTATTAGTTAATGCTTTTCATATTTCAAATGATCTCTAATAGCAAAAAAGATAAATCCTTCAGCCTTCAAAAGTCTTGAAAATCTGAATCCATATCCATGAACAAAAGTCTAGGACAGGTACCCAAGCAGTTGCTATTCCTTTGCTAGAGGAAAGCAGTAACTGCGTGGCTGTGCTCTTTCATGGGCAGTAGAGACTTCTGAGGTATTGACTTCAACGTGAGGGAGTAACAACAGTATTTTTTTCTTACTGTCTGATTTTAATTAAATGTTTGATGGTAGCTCCTCATTTTTGTAGGTAGGCCACTTATTCCCCTGCTAATAGTTATCTGAGGACACCAACATATGGAGGATCTGTGCAGTTACAGCACCACTGATGTCTTTAATAAGCTAGTCCCAGGTAGTCACTTGGTGTACTTGAGTGTCCTGGCAGAGATATCTCACTCTCAGCTTCCAGGTCTGAGAGGAGATCCATGTGTCCCCTCTTTGGCAGAAAGTGCAGGGCAGGTCTGGTAGTCACACATGTTTGATTTGGTGGTCAATGTTGTGTTCTATGCCAGTCCTGCACACTCAGGGAGGATCCTCAGCCGTCCCATCACTTCTTTGGAAACTCTTGCATGCTACCTGAGAAGCACTCTGCTTCAGACTGTTGTGCAGGGGACTTCACTCCTTGAACTTGATCTTCCCTGGAATATCTGTTACTGAATACTCTGGAGAGGATGGTGCTGAGTCCTAAGTAAGGAGTTTCCAAATTCCAACAGAGCAGTCGTATCTGCTGTAACGTGCAGGATTTCAGAACGCTGCTTCCTCTTTGTTTGGCCGAGTCATGTTCCAGCATACTCTCCTCACTGCTAGGTATGTGGCTGGAAAAGAGAAGGATTTCAAGAAGACCAGGGGCCAGAGCCAGGTGACTGAGCTGTGCATTAGATGGTCCTGGAATAAAAAAAGATGATGACTTGTGGTGGATCATTTCAGCATCTGCCAAAAACAATAAACTATTTTTCTGCTGTTGGAGAAACTGGGAAGAGACTTTACCAGAGGTAAAGTGCATGTTCAGTTGGCAGCTTAACTCACTGAAGCTCAGCAGAAGGCCCAGATGAATCTGAACGCCTGGGGCAAACAGAAGAAGTAGCGGTTTTTACCCTGCTGCAGCTGGGCAGCTCTAATTTCCTCAGGTTGAGTTTGACTTCAGAGCAACCCACAGAGCTGGAAAGCATCGTTCTCTCCAGTTATGAGGGCTGCCCTCTTCATCCTCATCAGCTAGTGGTTGAAAGCCACTGTAAAGACTTCATTGTCAGGGAAACAGAATTGCAGTGATGGGCAGGGACATTCCTTGCTTCCCCACTCAAACTGCTTGTCAGCATTACCTCCTTGGGTCCAGCCTCAACTCGAACTCCATCAGCTTTTCCAGATTCTTATAAATACATCAAAAGTCAGCACTCATCTGCTCCGTATCGCCTTGTCACGGAGCTCTGCTGCAGCAGGTTTAAAATAAACAAAAGGAAAATACTTTTAAAAAATAAATGTTAGGCTGCAGAACATATTGCCACTGGCATTTTTGGAGGCCCAAAGTATAAATTGGTTCAAAGGGGGATTAGGCAGATTCATGGTGGATTTGCCCAGTACAGACTCCTAACAGTGACAGTCTCGGTGCAACTCAAGCCAAGCAGTTCTTCAGCAGCTGATTGCCGCTTGATCAGAGGATGTGCTGAAGAGGAACGTCCTGTTAGTTGTGTTTCTTATACTGTCTCCCCAGGTATCCATTCTTGGTGTGAATAGGAACAGGATATTCGAATACATGGTCCTTTCATTTGACTGACTGCAGCAGTCCTTAGCTTTGCACATCCTAAGAAGAAGTTTTGAGTCGTTCACCAGAACGTGTGAGCTGTTCTGCTGGAGGGTTTCATACAGAGCTGGTGAAAGTGGACAGGACCTTGAATGCACAGGGCAAGCACTGTGCTTCCAACCAGAACGTGCAAATGAGTGGTCTTACTGTGGACTCTTGGGTCTGCAGAAAGGCCTGCATATCTGTCCTAACCACATACCAGTAGTTTGGAGTTGACTTAATCTGCAGAATACTTGTTCTCTTTAAGATCATTTTGTTGGTCAATGTTGTTGCCATTAAGTTTGTCAGAGTCTTGTCTTGCATTGTAATGCTCTTGCGCCCAAAGCTTGAAAGCAATGTTAAGGTATGCATTATTGAAACCAGATGCTTTTGGTCTATTTGTAGAGCACGTGAGTAGCATGGCAAGTTCATAGATTAATTTTTGCTTGCATTATCCTCTGGGAGGGAATGCCCAAATGGATTTCTTATGCTCCAAAATTGTTCCCAGGGTCTATTTCTACCAAGCAAAGGCTAGGCCAGCTGAAAGTGGCAAATACTGTAGGGGTGTCACCTCTGTGGTTCATTGCAGACTCGTGCAAAGTGTCTGAAAGTGAATTTGAGGAGTATGTTAGTCCTGTTAAGTATACCTATAAATAAACTTTTCTTATTCATCTGAGTGGCTTGACCTTTCTGCTGCTTATTGTTGTAAGGTCTGCTGTCCATCTGGAAATCTGGGTGGGGGACATCTTTGAGAAGGAGGCATTGTTTGTATTCTGAACAGCAGAAAAAATGTGTTTATCATCTTGGGAGGGTTCTCACTTGCTTCAAATCCTTAGGACCTTTCTTTCAGATGTCTTTATTTCTATTTCACTTTGTTCTTCTTTCTGTCAGCCACCCTAAAACACATATTAGATCCTGTATTGCCCTGGAATTGGCTCATTCTAGAAGCTTCGTCCTCTGTAACTAAAGAAAGTGAACGGAATCACCAGTCTTTAGTGGTGAGCATCTCTGAAGATTACATCTTCTGTAGTTTCTGTTTGTGATTGTGGGAACAGTGCTTATCTGCCACTGTGAAACAGCAAATGTCACTGTGTGTTTAGATAAAATAAGGAGGCAATGACTTTGAACTCCAGCTGTAGGGTATGATTCCCTAAACTCCTGCTTAAATGAGTTTCAGAAGTTGGGTGCATTCTGTGTCCAAATATGTCCTGTTTAGTTCTGAGTAAACCATTTGTGAGTGAGACTTGGTTATCCTTTCAGAGGGAAGGATATAAAGAAAGAATTAATCAGCCATCACCAGTGAAATTATTTCAGGCTTTCTCCTTCATTGATATAGATGAGTTATGCCCATAGTAAGCCCCAATAGACAGGAATACTGAATCTTCTGCTTCAGGGCTTAAAACAGTGCCAAATTCAGAATTAGAATGACTCTAATGGGGGGGATAGGTTGGTGCCACATCTTTTGATTCTAGTGCCTTCCTTGTAGTGTCTACTTACAGCCTGTTCTGGGGACATGATGCTACTTCAAGTCTTACTCTGCCTCATCACTTGTAGACTCCAGCTCCTTCTCCCTTTCCCTCTTCAGGTTTGTCAACCATTATCTCTTTGTGGGGGTATAATTCATTTTTAGCCAATATTTGTATAAATGCTTACTCGCCTCATCTCAAAAGTCTTGCCCTTTCTGTCTTATGATAATGTCAACCATGAGGAGCTGGGCTGTAACTTTGTCCCTCTGATGTTAGCAGTCAGCATCACATCGTCCTGTGCAAGTGCACTGTCTGTGCCCTGCAAAGTCGTGCTGGTCTTTTTTCCTGACTCCACATTGCATGCTCGTGTCTTCTTTGCTACTTGTTCTTCCTCTTATGCCTGCTTTTAACATCATGGGCTTTACCACCTTTCTTCTTGCCTCTCTCCAGAATTCCTCCTAGTTCTAACTTAAGCTTTTCCAATTGTTCTGTGTCTGAGTATTAGCCCACGTAGTTTTGGGGCTATGCTGCAGCTGTAGTTATACTGTAACATGGTGTATATCTGTCCTCTGACAAAAGTCATGCATCTTGTCATCCTGTATCTTGTTCAAGGCACAGGCTACAGAGCTATAAAGGAGTTCTTTCTGCCTCTGTGTTTAAGAGAAAAGATATTTTAAAAATAAAAGATGTGTTAGCTCCATGAGAACAGATCAGGAGAAAGGACAGACCAGATTTTTTGGGTCTGGTGAGATAGAGAGGAAGGCAGGGAAGGGTACCCCCTTCCCACCATAGAAGTACCCTTACACACCACAGAATAGCTGTGTGAAGCCTCCTGAATTGGTACTCGAGTCATTTCTGACACCCCACTGTGTCATTTAGCTTAAGCAAGTCTGTTTGCCATGCTGTGGTGAGGTGTGTGGAGGCTGTAGAGTTCCCAAAGGTCTGCTATACCAAACAGCTGCATCTCGCTGCTGTTGTTAGGCTTTAGAGTTTTGTAACCTCACGAGTAGATGTGATTGACCTGCTGGTATCCTGGTTATGGCTAGCAGTATTACTGGGCCTTGTTTTACTCCAACAGTGTTCAAAAGAGTGGACAATTCATGGGCCGTGTTAGACTGCTTTTCATTAACTTGCAAGTCTCTCTCTCATTTCCAGTTGCCATCTTCTAAATGGATTCCAGTGAATTTTCGGGATCTTTGGACCCCCTGTCCTTGCCTGACAAGCCGCTTATTGGTGATCTCCCTGCTGACATGGAGTTTGGGGAAGATCTGCTGGGCTCACAAACAGCTTCTACCCGGGAAGTTTCAGTTCTTCAGCCCCCTGACTGGGATCAATCCAAGCAGATGACTGCAGATGGGGACTTGGACCTTCTGGTGAAAGCAGACAGCCTGTCTGAACTAAACAAATCAAACAACCTTGTTCTAGATAAACCTAGTGTCTTGAATATGCTGGAGAAACCTGATGTCTTAGATGACTTGGATAAAACTGCTGACTTGATGGAGCTAGATAAATCAGAGGGTCTGGATGGGCTGTATAAGGCACATCCTTCCCAGGATGTGGAGGATGGACCGGTGGACTCCTCTGCCCTCTCTAGAGAAGCCCTTGTTCCAGAAACATGGAAAGAAGGGGAAGATGCACCAAAAAATGATTCTGAGGACCTAAAGGAAGATGGTGGTGCTGCTGCTATTCCTGCACTGTCTGATGACAACGCCCCTGAATCACCCCAACAGCCCATTCCTGACTCAGGGGACCTCAGCAGTACCCCAGCCACAGAAGAAATCGCAGCACAATCCTCATGTCCACCAATGCCCCCCCCTCAACCCAATCTTAAACAGACAAAGAAGATGAGGTTGAAGGCACCAAGGAAAAGCTCACCCATGCAGAGGGAAGGGCTGGCAGGGGAAGCAGAGGTGAAACTGAGCCCAGACAACAGTACTGCAGTTTTGCCCCCTGAGCCCACGGAGGAAAACCAGGCAGAGGAAGGGGATGACAGTGGGAACAACTCGCTTAAAGAAAGTCGTGTACAGGAAGCCTCACCACCAGCAGGTAGGTTGTTATCTCTGCAGAACTTGGCTTCCTTTTGCTCAGGAGGTCATCCTGCTGCACATTGGTGAAGCTGGAGTCTGTTTTGCGCTCCAACTTTTCCCATCATCCCCTGCTATGGAAATTGTCAATGGTACTGATGGGCTAGATTTGGGGAAAGCATCTTGCTTACAGGGAATAATGCTCTGGAGGCTGCTCCCTTGGTGCACACAAGCTCTTCCTCTGGCTTTCATAGCTTTAACTTTGATTTTCAATGCTTGTGTCAGCTAGGAGCTTCCCTGATAAAGCTGTGGCTGTGCGTCAGCTTAGCTCACACTCTTCATCACTGGAGTCTTTGCTGGAACGGAGGGTCACCAGGAGAAGGTGTTTCTAATAGGCAAAGTCCCTCTGCCCAGGCTGGCTGTCCTCAGGAGATGCTCAGTCTCGGTCAGGAGTGGTTGGAGGCAACTGCCCAGCATGCCTCCCCCATTCAGGGAGGTCTCCTCCTTACAGGACTCCTCCCAAGCTGCGTGTTTGGATCTCTAACTACAGGTGGTGGGTTTAGGAACTTTCCTGTGTCTGATCACCACCAGAACTGTGCTTGTTAGCCAGGACTGTCTGAGGCTTCATGTGCAGACTGACCCAAAGGGTGGCTGCATTTGAAGAACACCTGTCCTATTCTGTTGGAGAAAAGCAAGATGTTAGATGCAAGCTGCTTCTGTGCTTCTGTTCCAGGAGAAGGCCTATCTGGGAAGGGAAGCGAGCTGCCAACTGAGAAGGTGAGGAGAATGCAGTCAAGTACGTATGCTACAGGAGTATAGAGTGTGGCTGGCTGTTGTCAAACTCGGTGAGGGACACTGGCTGTCTCGTCACCCCTCTGGGAAGGAGTTTGCATGTCTCCTGTGACGGAGTAATCCCTGTGCACTGACACTGTGCTGTAATGTGGCTTCAGTGTGTCCCTGCTACCCCCGGCTGGAATGTCATTCTCATAAGCCTACTTCCCCCTCTCCCCCACCTTGCCAACACTGGTCAGGTATCCATGGAGTTTTATCCGTTTTCAGCCTAGTTATTGGCAAAGCAAATCCCGGAAGTTGGAACTCCACCGTGATCTGGGATATTTATCCATGGTTGTCCTAGCAGATGGTTAGCCTAAGTATTTTCTGAATGTCTTCTAGGAGCAGAAAAGAAGTGAACGAGCCAGAAGATCAGAAACTGCCAGGCCTGAAACTGTGAACTCCTCTGAGAGCAGTGAGTAACTAGGGCTGGCCAATGCCTGTTTTCAGCCAGAGAGCAGGGACTCCGTTGTGGGCGGGTGGTTCATGGTGTGAGTACGGTGGGAACTCTGGAGCTTCTGTGCAGACTTTCCTCTTACACAGGACAGGTCCCTTCACCCCATGAATCTGGGGTACTTGCCTTGCTTTCTCAGGGCACTTAGGTTGAAGGGAGGGTTGTAGTATTTTTACAGTGGTGTGTAGACACCAAGCACCAAGTGATAGGATGAGACTCTGCGGTTGTTCCCAGGAAATATATCTTCCATCTCCTCAGACAGGAACTTTCTTCCTTTGTCTCTATGGCAGCAGGCTGTCTGAAGGAAGGTTGCATTTTGGGGATTTTCCTGCAGAAGAATGTGAAGTCTCTGTTCTTTGAGATGTTGAGTGTCACCCTGCCATTCCCTAGTATTTGTGTGTTGCTCCTTCATTGCTTGCTTGTGCAGCCTGTGCTGGAGACTGGTGATCCAGCTTGTTCCCTTTAAGGTCTACCAGTTCTTTGAGGGTTTTATGCTGTAAATATTCACACTTTAGGCTTCTGCTCAGCCTTGGCAAATCATGACTTCCTAGAGAGGAATTGTACTTAAGCCCAGCTTGCTTAAAGACCTCCTGACTCATCTCTGATTCCAACAGAATATCTTTTAAGGGTCCCTTTATCATTTCACCCAGACAGGTACAAAGCCTGTAGAGGGACTCCAGAAAGGTGACCCCAGAAAGCCCCAGCATGTGTTTCATGGCAGAGGTTTCTGTCTCAGTTCCTAATGAGGAATTTCTGTGCATCTTTCTCTGGTGCTTTGCAGTTCCAGTCTCTGACGAAGACTCTGATGCAATGGTGGATGATCCCAACGACGAGGATTTTGTTCCTTTTCGTACCCGACGCTCAACTCGTATGTCTTTACGTACTCAGATGGCTCAGCGAGCTGCCCGCTCTACTGTCACCAAGATGACTTGTGCCAACTGCCGGACCCCACTGCAGAAGGGCCAAACTGCCTACCAGCGTAAAGGGCTTCCTCAGCTCTTCTGCTCCAGCTCCTGTCTCACCACCTTCTCAAAAAAACCACCTGGCAAGAAGATATGCACCTTCTGTAAAAAGTGTGTGTTCATTCCCCTTTCCCCAGTGCTCGCTTGTGACCCTGTTCACCTGCCCCACAGCCCTACCTGCCAGTCCCCATCCCTGTGACCCTCATGCTTCCCATTCAACCACATTACTCCTGCCCACTGACAGCTGCTGCCCCATGTCTTCCTTCACACACTGCATATCCCATGCTCCCTACACCCCCTTCACATTATTGCCTTTCCCTGCCTGCCCCAGGCTCAATGCCCCATATCCCAGCCTCCCCTCAAAACAGCCTCCCGCATGCTCTGTCTTCAGGCACCACCCCCCTGGGCCAGGACAGAAGCTGCTGTGAGACGGTTCTTGCCACCCTTTTGGGGCACCAGAAAGTCCCGTGCATTGCAGTGTGCCATCCTGTCCCTTCGTGGCAGGACCGGTGTGTCCCTGCACTAACACATCCCCTCCTGATGCGCAGGGAGATCTGGAACACCAAGGACTCTGTGGTTGCCCAGATCGGTTCAGGCGGCTCTTTCCACGAGTTCTGCACCTCTGTCTGCCTCTCCCTCTATGAGGCCCAGCAGCACAGACCAGCACCTCAGTCTGCAGATGCCTTGGACACCAGCCGCTGCAGCGTCTGCCACAAACCTGGCGAGGTAAACAAATCCGTTGTCCTTCCCATGTCCTGGATGAGGTGCTTGTTACCTGCAGCACTTGGCCCTGCCTGGGACCATCACAGGGTGTTTGCCAGGTTCTCCTGTGGTGTGAGACCTCAGCCCCTGAGCTGGCGTGGGCTCACTCCCAGGTCCTTCTTTGTTACTGTGAACGAGCCCTTATTCCAGCAGAAGAAATAAGGCTTCTGCTTCTTCCCACCCTGAAGCTCATTTCTTCCTGCCACTCCACTCTCCCAATTGCTCTGCTGACTTTTGGCAAGGAAGGCCAGCCTGAGTCCACACCAGCATCCAGCATGGCACTTGCCTGAATTTTAGTGTAACAGCCTGTTGTCCCAAGGGCTGTGGTAGCAGTGGTGCACGCATGTCGGAAGGGGACACGTGGTGGTTTGGGGGAGTGACAGCAATGATGTCTCTGCAGATCCAGCATGAGGTCAGCAATGGGAACGTGGTTCACCGCATCTGCAGCGACGCCTGCTTCACCAAGTTCCGGGCCACTAAGGGGCTGAAAACCAACTGCTGTGACAACTGTGGACTTTACATCTACAACAAGGGCTTGCCCCTGGAGTACCTCTTCCATGAAGGCCAGCAAAAACGCTTCTGCAACTCTGCCTGTCTCAACAGTTACAAGAAGGTGTGTGGAGTCAGCTGCCTGGGGTGGGGTATCTCTGTGGGCACACAGCTCCTTTGCTCGGTGTGGCACAGGGCACTTTATGCAATAGCAGGTGACTTGAATCCCCTTGGCCTTCTACTGCTGACAAAACATTTAAGAGATTGCTGTGGAGAAACTTTGAAGCAGACAAACAGAATTTATTTATTATGCGTGGGGCCCATCTTGGACCCGAGTACGGATCAGGCACTCAGTAAGCTGGACTGTGCAGCGACACTAGTATATGCAGTTAGCATGGGCTGGCTTGTTTTGGATGTCTCCCCAAAGCTTGGCTGGATATGTTCCTCTGTGGCCTAAGCAGGCTTCACTTAACTGTCTTGATGGGATTGCCAAGCTCTGTATTCCTGCCAGGGTACCCTTCAAATGAGAAGCTGAGGTGCCAAAGGCAGCCTTTTTTGCTACCACCAGCTGAACTTGCAGACTATGAGACTGGATCTGACATCAGGTGTTCCCTGGAGGAGAGCTGCCCTGTGGTGGATACAGTAGTGGGGTGGGATATGAGGGTCGGACCTCACCAGCTGTGGTGGTCTCCCTGGCAGCTCTGTTCTGCTCTGTGTTTGCAGAAGAACACTCGGGTCTACCCATGCATGTGGTGCAAGACGCTGTGCAAGAACTTCGACATGCTGCCCAACGTGGATCGCAGTGGCAAGATGGGCCTGTTCTGCTCCATTTGCTGCACTACCTCCCACAAAGTGAAGCAGTCAGGCTTGGTTGGTAAGAGCACGTACATACAGGGCATCAGTCACCTCTCTACTCTAACTCCTTCCTTGGTACTATTTATTGCTTGTGGATGAGACTGGAAAGAAGGCATGTTGCTTGCCTGGGGAGGAGTCCAGTGAGACAAGTGGAAGGAGATTTGCAGAGGGAGGAACACTTGCAGCATCTTAATACTGAGGGGTAGTGTACATTGCTGTTCTTGAGAATGCAGGAAGAAGTTGTAGTGCCGTACTATGCTGGCATTGCCCTTTCCATTACACGGAGTACCAGGGTGTCCAGGAATGGGTATGGTCTGGTCTCTGGTGCAAGTATTGCAGCCTGTTTTGTCCCAAATTCCTGTAGAGCTAGGGTCATTTCCTTGAACCAGTCTGCTCTCCATCCGTGTTTAACATTTCTGTCCTAGCAGAATCTGGTGCTCTTAGTTTCCTGGTGTTCTTGTCCCTTGCTTTTTAATAATAGCTTGACAGACTGAGGATGGGTGAGTAGCTTGCATGCCATCCTCAGAATCCAGTCCCACGTCCTGTGCTGCTGCCCTCACCAATTCCTGTCTGTTTCATCAGGTCCCCCTAGACCCTGCAGCTTCTGCAGAAAGAGTTTATCTGAACCCTGCTATTACAACAAGACAGACCGGGTTGTCTACCAGTTCTGCAGCCCCAGCTGCTGGACCAAATTCCAGGTACTGAAATATCCTTCATGCTGGGCTGGGCCATAGAGCTCGTGCCTCCTTTTGCACTTAGCAGAGGCTCCACCTTCCTCAAGCTCCTCTGGGGTGGTCCATAAGAAAGTCTCTGCTGGAGCACAAGAGTTGCAGTGACTGTAGTTGCCAATAACTCAGTCTTGGCCCTATCGCCCCCTTCCTCCATTGGGCTAAGACGGGCTGTAATTCACTCCTGTCTATCAGGTTATGCCCAACAGGAGTGCAATGCAGAGCTGTGCTGCATGAGTGGCCTTATAAGGGCACGAGCAAAAGCACAAATAAGCTAGCAAAGCACAGTGGGCACCTGCTAGTGGGGTGGAAAGGGGCAGAGCTGCCCTCTGAGCCAGGCATCACCAAGGAACATAAGTCTTCTAGGATGTGTTGTCTAAAAATTTACAACCAGCAGGCCTGGATACCTCATGTGACTGGTGGTTTTTAATCTTCTGATACTAAGTTTCAGCATATGTGAAATGTTTATGGTATTCAAAGGCAACTGGAAGAATATTAGTTTTGTACAGTTGTCAAAGAAGAAAGCAACAGCCAGGAAGACCTGGGAAATTTAGACCAGGACATGCCTTGGGCAACTGAGAAAACTTAGAGAATCTAGAGGTAAAGAGTTAGTTACTGGCAGTTGCAGCATTTGGTTTTGGGGTTTGTTTTTTTTCTTGTGGTTTTTGTGTTGTGGGTTTTTTGGGTGTTGGTTTTTGGTTTGTTTTTGGTTTTTTTAATAAATCCTTGATGCGATCCTTCACTGAGATCACAAATGGTGTTGGTAGGGTAGCTGTAGAGTTTTTACAGTTGTAGACTTCATAAGACTTGAATCATAGAATAGTTTGGGTCGGAAGGGACGTTTAAAGGTCATCTAGTCCAATCCCCCTGCAATGAGCAGGAACATCTTCAACTACGTCCAACCTGACCTTGAATGTTTCCAGGGATGGGGCATCTACCACCTCTCTGGGAACCTGTTCCAGTGTTTCACCACCCTCAGCGTAAAAAAAATTTCTTCCTTATATCTAGTCTAAATCTACCCTCTTTTGGTTTAAAACTATTACCCCTTGTCCTATCACAACAGGCCCTACTAAAAACTTTTGTCCCCATCTTTCTTATAAGCCCCCTTTAAGTATTGAAAGGCTGCAATAAGGTCTCCCTGAAGCCTTCTCTTCTCCAGGCTGAGCAACCCCAACTCTCTCAGCCTTTCTTCATAGGAGAGGTGTTCCATCCCTTTGATCATCTTCGTGGCCCTCCTCTGGACCTGCTCCAACAGGTCCATGTCTTTCCTGTGCTGAGGGCTCCAGAGCTGGACGCAGTACTCCAGGTGGGGCCTCACCAGAGCGGAGTAGAGGGGCAGAATCACCTCCCTCGACCTGCTGGCCATGCTTCTTTTTGGGCAGCCCAGGATACATTTGGCCTTCTGGGCTGTGAGCGCACATTGTCAGCTCACATCCAGCTTTTCATCCACCAGTACCCCCAAGTCCTTCTCGGCAGGGCTGCTCTGAATCCCTTCATCCCCCAGCCTGTCTTGATACCGGGGGTTGCCCCGACCCAGGTGCAGGACCTTGCACTTGGCCTTGTTGA